ATTTTTTCGCTTTTCAACAGATTTCAGTGTGGTCAAAAGTCAAAATAGTTTTGCAGGATTTACAATTCTACCTTCAATTACGCTATCGCGTGCTGAAGAATCGCGTGAGTGGCAAAACTATCGGCGGGACGCCCGGTGCGGTTCTCCCCTGGATTTTGGGGTGGAAATGATCATTTGTGTTACTAAAATGGCCAACAATCTAAAAGATGGGAGTTAAAAAGTTCAGCTCGGCTGTGCAAATGATATACTTCAACTATGGGAGTATCTCCTTTACCGGGAGAGACGCGACGAACTTTCAAAATAGTATCATAGCTTGTAATCTGAATGCTTAAAACGTGTCTAAACGTATCATAATAAATGGTTATTGCAAATTTCCACCAGGAACCCTAGGGCTCTTTATCCGCCGTGAACTTGGATACTCATTGAGATGGTTGTAATGTTGGCAATGTTGGCGACATTGATTCCATCCAGTTATGTTAAAGCAAAGACATTAGAAAAAGATGTCTTTGGTTAAGGTCAAACAGTCTTCGCTACAGATTGTTGAAATTACTGCAGCTTTGTGAATAGTGGAACATACTCAAAAACGATTTCAAAATATTGAAAACAGGTACAAATATTTTCTCTTTCGAATGCTTAGCAAGACTAAATAAGGCAGTCATGGTGATGAATTTCCGTGTTATGCACTATATTTAATATTTTACAAAACAGTAATAGGTTTAAATTTCGGAGTGTTACAGCCATTTTAATTATGAGCATTAGCAAAATTCTTTGTCAGTGGATGGTTATGCAAATTATCAATTATCAAAAGAATGCGTGAACACATTCATCACAGTCGTCCTGCAACACATCTTTGAGTTTCATGTCATCAAACAGTGTTTTCACGCGCGCTGTATACGTCGCATGGAACTGTTGTCTCGTCGATTGTGAATATAAGAGTATTAATCGGTAGTTTTCGGATGTTGGCAAGAGTGAGAACATTTGTGAGAACATCTTGGGGGATGGGGGGGGGGTTCTTGGGGTCCGGACCCCCGTTGAAAAATGTATTCAATTTGTTTTTGTATAATATAAAAAAATCATTAACTTAGTCTGGCGATTTTAAAGTTTGGACCTCCCCCCCCCCCATAAAAAAAATGCTCAACAAATGCAAACCAACAGGAACCAAAACTAAACACGGAATTGGCTGTTAATATCATTAAAGTACACTCACCAGTCTCACTCCTATTGACGTTGAGAATCCTGGTGGGACTTCAATACCCTGCTCTTCGGGAAATGCGGCAATTGAATGTGGATGGACGAAAATAACTGCTCTGGCGTTTTCGGTATAATCAGTCAAATACTCGTCCTGTTCTATAAATAACGTCAAAGTCAGACCTAGAGAAATAAGAAGTTACAAGACAATAACAATAATTTAAAACTCACTTGTCGACAACAATGTATTCCAGCATTGGATAATTCATAGGGAGTATCCCGAAACAGCGGCTAGAACGTTGATGTTTTGGATATTGTCAGTTCTATGTTGTTGAGCACTCGATTCCTTCTGTGCTTCTCTTCAAAGAAATATATGGGTAACTGACGTGGGAGTGATTATTACAGGTGTGTTGAGCCCCGATGTACCTTGAGCACCTCAAATTGAATGTTCTCCGAGACTTCAACGATTCATATAACCACCGTCCCGTGTTGAGGGACGGTAATATAACCAATTAACCAGGGGTAATACTGCAAAGCATTTACATGAATTTCTCTATATTAATATCAGAGTTACTATTATTATACATGTAATCATAATCTATATGATTTATTATACACTCTTAATGCAGTGAATTCCATGGAAACATAAATATTTGAAATAACTAACAATCGCGGGGGTGGGGGAGTGGTTAACGGGTGCATAGCAGTATCTCGGCCAATGATTGAATGAAACCCATTCATTAGTAATGTGCGTTACCAAACGGCTTATATACTAGTAGCTAATGAAAGTCTATCCTTTGGATTTGAATCAAGCGCTAGGTTCTTTCTTCCATATTTTTTTTTTATAAATCCGCATAAAAAATGATTCATGACATTCAATGTATGACGCCCAAGACCGCTTACAATATAGCTGGACCTTAATTTAATCACAATCCCTCGGAGGGACTTTGATTTAATGCAACAAAATGTTTGGTCTCTGGCAAAAGTCGAGAGTAAGTATGGCTGACCATCCATTGCCTAGGTATTCTGTCATCACTTGAATGAATGTTGGGTTACATTGATCGTTAGTAAATATCCATTGAAAAGTGAACGGTATTTGGCTTCAGTGCATCAAAGCACTCAAAAGCATCGGCTGTTACAACACATATCCGACAGAAACTACATGTAAACAGGCAGACTGCTAGGGGCAATACAGCTTACAGGTAATTTTGGGGCAACTGATAGCACTCGCACAACTAATAGATAGAAACGCCATACTAGAGGCACTGAAGGAAATCGAGTAACTGGTTTATTCTAGACTGTCGACAGTACCGCTGATCTAATGGGTATTTTTTCAACTATAACGATTTTTCCAAATGCCGCAGTGCCTTTTCTTCAAATGTTAGTTATATTCATTGCTATTTATATAACATATAACGTGGAGTCACTACGCAGCACGTTCACTTAGTACGACCAATCTCCCTGTGCAATATCGTAATAAACGTTACGTACACGCATGTATTAATCCGCTGCGTCATTTGTTGGCAGTTGGCGTTATTTGCATTCAGTTGTTGGCTACCCACTCAAAACACAGGCCATGGATTCTGCTATTATAGTAAAATTAGTTGAATCGGTGATAGTGCAGGATCTGGGACTGCGTTTATATGTGCAGATTCGAATATAAGTAAATATTTTGTTTTTCTCCATAATGTGAATAAAAACATATAAATTAGTTAATTATGGACTAGTGGATGACGTATTTCATTAGTCCAAGGACTGGTGCACTTTAAAAGGATCTGCAATGATATTTTATAGGTATGTAGATGTATCTATGCACGAAAGAAGCTTGGGTAAATATTCAGGGGAAGACACGAGTGTCTGTAGCAGGCCTACCTTGATACTCCAAAAATAGTTTGATCTAATGGACTGGAACTCCTTTACACGTAGTATGGTAGGAAATATTTTGTTCAAGCGAATACATACAATGTACCCCTTGTAGGACCAGAACGGACGGTCGAGAGGATCTCACTGTCGTCAATACAATTAACATATTTGGAATTGAGTACTGACGTAAAGTTACTGTAAATAAAATATTGTACATAATATGTCAATGAATGCGATCACAATGTCAATTTGCGTGGCAATTTTGGCGAACTCAATCAAATACCAATAGCAAACTATATTAATTATTACCAATCAAAGACAAAAAGTGTTTGTTGCATGTTCATCGCGAGTCTGGAGACGCGTGTAATGTACAAATTATCAATATTATCTTTGCAAAACTTGCCTAGGGTAGCCAATAACACTAAGCTGGTTTACCATAATTTACCGCTGCTGCTGTCCAATACACTGTTGTTCAGGTTGCTCACATATACTGTTGGATTTTAACTTACTGTGCATTTTAAATACGAGAAGCCACAATTAAACGTGCAGGTACCTATATCATATATGATATAGCATGTAACCATCTTAGGAACACGGGCCGCATATTATGTAATAAATACGTATGCAGTTGAGCACTTTCCGCCATTAAAAATATACCCTTGAATGAAATCTTTGGATTGGTGACCGACTGATTTTCTTAGACTTGGATCTAGTATTGACATGATTCTGGTAATATTCATCTCGGCTGCGTACTCGTCCTCGAACCCATCGAAGAAATTTGAATCGTCGTCCCAGTCGCCATCAACAGGCTGTCATGGAGAAAATACGTTATTAGCCAGAGACGCAATTATAACGGGCAACCTACTTACTAATATGTCTACATCACCGCCATCCCACTATGACTAAGGTATATATACAATCAATGACATTACTCACAATTTTGACATTCCAGTCAAATTCTGAAGATTGGCTGTCATCCGTGGTATCAAAATCTAAAAATCTCAATATCTCTAAATATTCCGTTCCCAGGTCACCAAGCTTGGATTGCCGTAACGGATTTAAGTTACATATCATGACAGCTGGAAATGGAAGTCCTCTAAAAACCACAGCGATATTGTACATCACATCTAATTAAAGTATTTTTCACTTCGAGCGAGCCCTGCCAAAGAAATATTCCCCACATAAGGAAACATATGACGTGCTAGATTAATCGTACAACCAACGACGTCGCTGCGGTGAATTGACCAACACCGTGAGCGGTTGTTCTCTCCCCGAAATCTACCGCTACAGCCTTGATGTAATATACTTTTTCAAATCAGCAAACAAATTGTGAAGTTTTGTCCACGGCAATAACATCTTCTATGACTGAAAAAAGCAACAATGTTTATAATTACCATAACAATGAGCATGGGTTGTGTATGATGCGATTGGGGTGAGGGACTCTGTATGGGGCATGCCTTAGAAAACGAGTTTATGCTTTAATTAATTGGGGTTTAATACGAACTGGAATTGTGTCTCTTGTGTAGGTCATGAATTGTCGGCTTTTAGTTTCCAAGCTCGTAACTCAGATGACGTGTGACAATATGTTGTGAAATACGCATTTCCTGTCAGAAATTGTTCGAAATTGAAATAATGTAAACCCACAATTCGACCATACCGTATGGTTCTGTGTTAGTCTAATCTAGTTGCTTTGAATATGTGTCTGTAATTTGAACTTTTTACTTGTGAATTTTCGTCTTCTGCAGAGACTTCAACGAAAATGGCTTCACTTAAAGAGTGGTCTCGTCATCAATGCTGCATAGTTTTCAATAAATACATTTTGAATAAATAAGGTTAATGACAAACACGCTAATCACATTGTGCAAACGGATCATGTGCACAGCTTGTAAAATGAACCATGGTTTAAAGTAGCAAGAAGGGGATTTTTTTTATTTTTTTATTCATTTTTCAAAAATCGAAAAAACTAGACACATTATCCCAGCTTTTCAAAAGATTGAAATTTTGGTAAGACGCTTCTCATTATTATTATTCAAGACTTCGTTCGAGAAACACGATCATAACTTTGCGCGACATTCTATTAAATCGCTTATTTATTTCGTTTTATTTTCTAATTCAATATTCTATTTTAATAACACAATCATTCACACAAATGTACACACATCAGTTTGTGACACAAACTGAACCAGCTATACTTGTTTATATAATTGTCTGTAAAACCTGTATATTTTACTAGTATTTCACTGTTATTTATATGGGTGAGTTCATTACTCCAAGGCCAAGCACATTACTTAATCCCCTCGAGTCATGGAGTTTGTGGGTTCGATTCCCTCAGCCGACTTTTTACCCGGCAGTATAAATCAAAAGTACAGCCCTTCGTTCCTTTCAAACACGCGCGCTGTTGCCGTCGTTGTCAGGATATATAACCAAGTGTATATTAAGTGTAATTTTCGTTACTCGTCTCATCTCTAAGGACTACTTGTATTTTACCGGAATTTGTACTACAACAGTGTTTCGGTTATTGGCAAATTGACAACACATCATAAGCCACAGGTTAAAAATACAAGTTCGAATTCAACTATGACAACATATACTACCGGTAAATCCAGGACGGAGCGAAACGACCACTTGGGGGGGGGGGGTAGTCGCCAATGCCGGTTACAGTGAGTGCTCAGTTTGAGGTAAAGTAACAGCTACAGTTTCCAAAAAAGCGGTACAAGTTTACTCATGCATACACTCTGGTTTCTACTACCCCCTCCCCGCCATAGTCACGTAGTAATATGATTTGTTCAGAGTGCAGGCGATCTCATTGTGAACGTCACAGCGAGGTATTGTTGAATAAGCTTCTTCTTCATCACGAAAAAAGCATTCCCGACCATGATTTTGTGTGAAAATCGGCGCAAACAAAGATCTATTATAACTACTTTAAACATGTCAGGCGACCTTTGAAGAATACAACGCCCTCTACCGGCTTACTTTGGTTTAACGTGTCCATGTTTTTGTGAATACGTATCTTTTCTCCGAGTTGATTCGTTCTAAAACTAACACAGATCAAATGTATTATTGACATTTCACAGAAAATAAATTAATAAGATTACATAATTTCACAACATGCAGAACTAAATTAATAATGACATTTGATTTTACATGTTTAACATTACTGTTGTAAAAAAGGCTGTGATAATAAAATAAATACAATATTTACTAAATGGGGGCCGCCATCTTGAATGACGCATACAACTAAATAAGATACAAGTTGTGAAACGCGTTTTTCAGATTCCTACAAATCAGGACACAAATACCAATCTTTCACAAAAATACGGTCCGTTGGGATTATATTAAGCCAACCGATAACAACATTCGGCCTAATTTGTCGTTTTTGTGTGGAAAAATCGCTTGCATGCGAACACCTAATCACGCTAAGAACATAGAACACTAAGCCGGGGTATTTGAAACCGAAATTGTCATCTGAGCGTTTGACCGTCGCTGATTGGCTGCTGAGCTGGAATGCGAATTTTTAGTTTCATTGCCATATGGTATAATATTATATATACTATGGTAGTACATGTATATACTATTAGGTGGGTTTTGGTGAGTTAGTTGAAAGCAGCGTAGAAAATATTGCCAGTAGTGTCCCACCTGGTCTGTGCAACTGGACCAGGTATGTGGCGTTCAGTTTGTTCACGTAACAATTAGAGATAAAGTAGGACAGTACTATGTTTGTGTATTGACTGTCGTCTTGCATTACAAATTTATTTCCAAATTTTGTTTATTTGTTGTTTATTTTTAACATTGTCACACATGTTATGGTTTTATTTTGATTATTTTAATAATTTTAACTATTGTGTGTGGTAACCAGTAACAAGAATAACAATGTCTGGACCTTTCAGTCTTCAAAATTGTATATAGGTTGCTGACCATTCCTTGTCTATCTTTTTATTGTTTCATTAATGTCATTTCTTGCGGCTTCTTGGTCGTAGGTAACAAACAGGCGATTTTTGATCGTCAAATTAAGTCCATAAATGTTCGATATGGCTGTATTATACAATATATGCGGGTAATATACATTGTTTATTAACATTAAATTGGAAATTGTGTTGTGTGATGTGTGTGAAGAACATCATCCCGCTGTCGTTAATTATCACTTTATATATAATAACATATGACGGACACATGGGTGAAATCAAATATTGCTAAACGAATTTATTGTTATGAGGAGAGCGCCCTCAATTAAACCATTTACTCATAAATATGCAAATGGCGCATAGAAGGCCCTAAGGTCTTAACAGTTATTTTCTATATATAAATATATATAAATTATATATTATATATAAATTTGAATTTCCAAAAAATATACACTAGTCTTGAATGTGCAATGGTTTCAATAATGAGATACAGATGTGTTATTCAATTGTATTTTCCAGTTTTCAATGAGTTCTGATTCACAATCATGGTTAGTGTAGTATATGACTTGTGTATTGTTGGAGCTGGTCTTATCGGTTCTGCTGCAGCTATTATATCACCATCTGCTAAAATATGCTTAATTGGACCCAAAGAACCTCAGGTAAGTTGTTTTTATAAACCTATGTACTGAGCACAAATGGGAGATCAAAGGTTTTAATTTGATGTCTGCCTTCACCATATCATATCTTTTCACATCTTGTTATACTAATTTACCAATATATCATATCCATTCCCAATATTGGTTTAGCAATTCAGACACATGATTTCCATTCACAATATTGGTTTATCATTCAATTCTATTAACAAACCAATTCATTACTGGGTAAAACCAATCTATTATTCAGTTCTCAATTTCACCAATTGAAGTCAACAGCTTAGGGTTGGAAGGCCATTATTTCCAATGCAGGCTTCCTCGTTTATTCGTGAAGTATCATTATGTTATCTCTTCATCTGATACATAGTTTATTGTCATCATATCGTGGTATATGTTCACCATGTCATGAAATCCATCCCATTACCATACTTTGATGTCATTTATCCATTCGCTGTTACTGTATTATATTCCTTCACCATATTATGAGGTACAATCATCATATTCTGATATATCCATTACCGTTTTCATTGTCACACATATAACCACTGATGTAGCAATGTTAAAAACACAAGGTAATGAATGACAATCAACCCATACAAGATTTTGAGTTATTACATATATATCGATTCACCATCTCATGATATACCTTTACTATATCATGATATCCACCTCATTTAGTATCAAATTACATATATATATCATCCGACATATGATGTATGGTATCAATTCATTTGATACACAAAAATAGTTCACCATATACCAATTCACCATATATCACATTATTCACCATATTCTGATGTGCATTCACCCCATATTAATGTTCATACAGCATTTCATGATATCCATTCATATCGTATCTGATCTATATATTGTGGTGTGCATTCACCATATGAAGGTATATTTTCACCACATCATGACATGCATTGCATCACCATACTTTGATATTCATTTGCCATATCATGATATGTATTCGCCCTATTACATATTCACTGTCGTATGTTATCTATTCATCATACCGTGGTTATTGAATTATAAGCAACCTATACAAAGGTCACGGGCTTCTAACATATCTGAAATCATGTTGATTATTTATTTCATTATCAATCTCGCCACAGAAATTGTGTGTGTTTGTCTGGAATTCCTTTTGCTGTTTTGTGCGGAACTTATTTTCCAATGATATAGGACAATTTTCGTTTCCCCCCAAACAGTGAAAATAACGAATATATGTGAATATCAAGCACTTTACAGTAGAGTAAAACTCGGTATGTTTATATATGTTTTCTGTTCAGTAAACATCAAATAGTATTGCATTCACTTTACGCAGGAATACTTTTATCATCTCTATTTACAGATTCTATTCTACATATAATCAATGAGACGTTTGCTACAAAAGTTTTATGCAGTTCCTTGCTACAAATTCCCGTTCTAAATGACGACGTTGACATTTCAAATTACGTTGACATTAACATCCTGCTGTCTGATTGGTGGAAATGGGCCAATCATGTTATATGAAGTATAGCAATAGACGCACGTTGAGTTGAAATGATTCATTTCATTTTAGAATCTC